CAAATAATTTAATTAATAATTAAATAAATAAAACATACAAGCAACAGTTAAGGCAGTTTTTTCACTGAAGATAGCACCAACATTGTTATGAGCAATACACTGATATATTCCTTCATCAGTTTTTGTAATTTTTGATATTCGAAGTAAAGGATCATGTGAAAAATTTCCTAATGATTGACCATTTTTTAACCATTTATATTCAGGCGGAGGAAAACCTATAGCTTGGCACTGCAGTATTTTTGACTGATTTTCTGTCACAATTCCTCCAGTAAATGATGGCTGCACTACAAAATGAGGAGCAGATTGTTGTTCTATAAAGTAAAATTTAGAATTAAGAATTTTAATTTAAAAAAAACAAATTTAATTATTATTAATATGCAATTTTTAAAAAATAGTTTAACGTTTTGAGACAAAATATTAAATTTTACATTCCATAAAAATATAATGAAATTTATTTTTTTATTATATTAAAAATACAGTATTTCTTTGATTAAAAATTTATCTAGTCCAGCAGTTTCCAACTTGTGTTCTGTAAAATCCTAGGGTTCAACTGATAAAATTTTGGGTTCTGCAATGAAATTAGTTTTGAGCTTTAATAAATAGTTTAAAAATAGGTATGACAAATTTATTTAGTTCCAAAAATTATTAATATTTCATTAGGAACAGAGGACCTAAGTGCACACTGTACAACTCATATTTGTTGAAAATAAAACCCATCAAATTCAGTGGCGAGAGAATTGAACCATTCATTTGATTCTTTCCTGTGTATTCGATTCTTTGAATTGAAAAAAATAGCTTTCATTCCTGTTGACTGTGCCGGACAGTAACAATACATAACAAACGTTTTGAATATTTGAGTGTTCATTAGCAATTTCCAAAATCAAATGCATTCAATTCTCCCACCAATTGAGCTGCACATCTCCTGATGAAATAATCTGCAAAAATTAATCCCTACAATAATTATTAGTTTGAATTATTATTATTTACTTTTTCATTATTTATCTGTTTTTTTTTTTAATATGTTAAATAAATTTAGTTTTAATTTTTTGATTTATTGTTTTATTTATAATCAGTAAAAATTGTCAGGTTTCAAAGCTTTTATTAAGGTGAAAAGGCTTCAGTGATTAAAATAAGTTGGGAACTACTGATCTAGTCCATTATTTTTATAGAATTGTAATTGTATACATTTATTAAGACATTTATATTATTATAATTATTAATAAATATTTAAAATTTATTGAAATGTTTTAAAAATTGGTAATTTTATAAATATGACATAGAAGAGAATTATGCAAATAAATAATGTTTGAAACATTCTTACCAGGTTAAAATGGTATTATACTGTATTTACAAAATCATCAAAATTTATAAAAATTTGCATTTTTACATATAAAATGTTGATCAAACTCATTGAAAGTTTTGTTCAGTAAAGATTTTTTAATAATGAAGGATAAGATGATAAGCCATCACCACCTATAAACAAATGATGATTTTCTTACTAAGTATAGCTTTTTACAGCTGTAAAATAGAATTTTTTAATGTGGATCACAGCATTTTGTGCAACATATTATTTTCAATAAAGTAATAATTTCAGAACAGATTGAGAAAATTCTTAAAATTAAATATCAGGTAATCAAAGTGGCATTTTATAAAATTAGCAATTCTTAAAACATTCCTGTATTTTTTCAAATATCTTCCTCGATAATGTAATTAATTGAATAAATAAGCACTTATTAAAAAATATAAATGAATACAATACCTGCTTGAATCAATAATGGACTTAAAATCAAAATTAGCTGCACATAAAATAATGGACAGAATTCTACAATATGTATAAAAAACCTAAAACACAACATCACAATTTTACTAACAAAACATAAAAAATCATATAATGAACACATTAATAATGTTTTGTAAAGCAAGACTTCATCATAAAAACTTTTCAAGATGAATGAAAGTTTGTGTCTTCTACGCAGAGTCCAATCATAGTTCATTTTAAAAATACAGAAAAATCTCATTCTGTAGAAGCAAATCTTCTGATAAATCAGTAGTAATTTGAGCAAACATTTAAATAAAATATCAAAACAAAGGAGTATTTGTTAAAATGGAATGTTTTTCTAAATTTTCAGTTGTTTTCATATGGTATATTTAACGTGGTTCAATATTTTGGCATATTATGTTAATTTGATTTCATTATTTGGAACATCATCAATTCTTTCTTCTGTCTCATCTGCAACATATAAAAATAAACTTTATCACAATCCATATTTAATATTTAGTAATTAAAAAAATATATTTAATAAATCTATTATAAATTATAAAACTATTATTTACAGATTATTACATAAAAAATTAAAGTATATTAATAAAATTAGAAAATAAATACAGGTTAATCATCATCTAAATATTGCAATGTAACATTATTACACAAATAACAATAATATAATATATTTNTTACTTGTTTTAAAAATATATTGTTATTTTTTAACTATAAAAATCACACATTTAAACAGTTTCCAACAAGATTTTTATCTAATCATATATCTAATTATATAGTCTTAATCATCCTAATCTATATATGAAGATTATCAATTGATATAATCAGAATGAATGTCTCTTTTATCTAGATAATTATACATTTACACTAATAAAACAAATATTTATCTTTTACATTTATTGCTATCTTGTTTTTATAAAAAAAAAAAAGACAAATCATAATGATTCTAGGTCAAAAATATTTAAATTTAAAATCATTATTGAAGTTTAACTAAATACATCTATATACTTTTCTATTTAAAAAATAATAAATTGAAATAATTACTTATAAACATGTTTAACAAGAACATACAATATTGAAATCTACAGTGTGTCTCACTTAAAATTGGCTGGCCAACTGAAATGATGAAACATTAGTGATGTGAATACAAGAGAAAAGAGAAAAAAATGCTAGTAAATCACAATTACTTATTCATATATAATTATACATTAGCATAGGTATACTTAATTTAGCTTCTGGAACTGATGTAAACATAATATATTGGAAATATTTGGTTAAATATTAATCACTGCTAATTTTAAATTAGTTTTGATGTGAGTATGTTAGCTGGTTTCTTGTTTTAATTTTTAGTAAATTCAATGCAGTAAAACATACATAAGTTGTAGAAAATAATGTTTGAATTTTTGCTGCATACTTCCTTAAGCCAGGAAATCAATATATTTATTCATATTTTATGTGACACAAGCCACAAAAAATATTAATGTGGGCCATCCCTGACTGACAGCATGTTTTGTATGTTTTTGTATGCTTAAATAATGTTAAAATAATGTTTCTAGTAAGTGTCTTTTGCCTAAATTCATTTGTATTGTTTCCAATGAGTGGCCAATTTTATATTATGGAACACCCTTTATAATAATATCAAAATAAATTCATTGCTGCTTCAAAAACAAAAAAAAACAAAAAAAAATTGTCAAAAAGTACTTTAAAAAGTTTTAATAACCATTTCATTAATTTTCAACATTAATGCAATGGTTATTAAGGCAATGATAAGCTAGGTTATCATTGCCATAATAGCCTAAAAAGAACCTAACCTCAAAAGGTTTTGTTACATATGTCAATCAACAAACTATATAGAATCTCTCAAATAAACAACATATTTCTATCAGTACATTGGTGGAACAAAGTGGTCTTTGACCATAGGGTTCATCACTGACTGTATTAGCTCAATATCCTTGTTAGATCTTTATATACATAAAACATCCCTGATATTATCTTTTCATGTTTTCTACATTTAATTTAATCCATATAATTATTCCAATAATCTCCTGCCCTGGCTACATTAATGCCCTAATATGTTGCATCTACTTATATTCCTTCTAACAAAGATTAGTGAACAAGGAACTGAATTACATTAGAATGGTAGTCACAAAGATGGAATATCTTTTAGTGAAATTTAACTACCTTAATGACAGTAAAAACATTATTCCTGCTTTCCACTCTGCATTAATGTTTTTTT